AAAGTCATTGCCCAAGTTTATTGATATTGTCCATAAAATCAGTATCATCGATTTTATGTAGGAGTTTTTCTATATCCCAAAAGGCAGAAGTTTTTTTTACTCTTCACTGTGGCCGGACCGAAACCCTATGTAAGTCCGTTTGGCTCCAAATGAGAATGATGTATTGCAAAATCGAGAAAGTCTATTTTGAAATGTCAGTACAGTACACGGTAATGAATGCCCTGTACCCAACAATATCTGATGTTTGTTATTTTTATTACAAATACTGGAAACAAATGTTTAAGAAACTATCATGTTGACATCCTGAACGGAGGGGGCACAACGGTAGGAGAAACAGCGCAAACACGTACTGAACGTGCTACATAGTATACGTCGTTGTTGACTTAGAACATGAGCTACTCAGCTGATGAGAAAGTTGATTTTTAAGGTGTATGATTTGTCTCAGTGTGAAGCAGAAAGAAGAAACCCTTTTGATGTCATTAATAAGTACTTGAAACATGCTTCTAAAGCTCTGGGCTTATTCTCCTGAAAAGAAGCTGAAAACAGTTGTCCATCGACAATCAGCAATCAGGGAAGCAACCGTGTTGAGTTGATAAATTAGACAGTTCTTGAAAAATCAGGTCCGAGGTGCAATTGTTAAACTGCATTCAGAAAATAAGTACATGTCACTTAGACTCTTGAAAAAATACCTTGAAACTGAACATGATTTCATTGTTACAAAATACAAGCTGTAGCAACTTTTGCACACATTTGGATACAGATACAAAATGATGAGAGGTGTAAATAGGGCTCTGTTATGTGAACCATCTGACATCTTTCGTCTCCGAAATCAATATCTTCGAACCATCAATCAGAAACGTGAAGAAGGACATGTGCCTGTTTTCCGAGATGAGATGTGGGTAAATTACTCTCACACAGCCAGCAGTCAGTGGGTACCCAGTTGGGACTATAAGAAGCCTGGGAACAAAATACGAGTGGGAAAAGGTGAAAGGCATATCGTTCTCCATGCTGGCTGTGCTCTTCAGAGATTTGTCCCAGGCTGTGACCTCTTGTTTCGAACCAATGTCAAGGATAACAGGGACTACCACACAGAAATGAACGGAAAAGTATTTCGGAGTGGTTGAAAAATAAGTTGGTCCCTGCTTTGCCTGCCAAGTCCCTTGTTACCATGGACAATGCCCCATATCACAGTATGAAGGATCCAGACAGTAAGGCCCGGACGTCTAATAGCCTGAAAGGAGATATGGTGACATGGCTGCCACGGATATACATGGCCATTCCTTCCAGGGTTACAGAACGACAACTCTATAAAGGCATCAAATCTAATCAAAGCCCGTATACATGTATATGGTTGAAAATTACATCAAAGGTCAAGGTCACACCTTCTCCCTTTCCACTGCGATCTGAACCCAATAGAGTTGATATGGGGTATCGTCAAAGGTGACTTTGGACGATTGAATGTTGAAATGTTGGATGTTGAAATCCCAGTAAATGAATCCTTTGGCCGGGGAACAGTGGAGACATGGCAACGTTGCGTTACCAAAGTCGGCAACGGCATGGAGTGAAGATACTGGTTACGTGATGGACTTCAGCAAGCCACAGTCCCACCTATAGTTGTGGCCATTAGCAGTGACACAAGCGTTTCCGACGACGAATAGTTGTGGTCATACGCTGTGAGCGTATATCAGTACGCAAATCAGCAATTTCCTTTGCAACATCTGTTCTAAAGCCTTCATTAAGTTCCTACATTATATCTTCTCAACATCTCCAGACAATATAAACAACTGTTTGTTTACATCTTGGGCGTTAAAAGGAGGTACACCAGTGATATAGATCACTGAAACGACAGTGAAGGCGCACCTAAGACTCATGATTGATCTGAGACGTAGAATTTGATCATATGATAGAATAAATATGACAAACGCGAGTTAGAAATGGCTACATGTTTGCATAATATAGTACTCACATAGAACGCTTGTAGTAGACATTCAACTTGTATATCTGTCTGTGTCCTCTGGGATGTGTAAATCTTCCGATCCCAATCTCCAAGACACACTCGACATTCCCATAGCTTACTTTTCCACTTAAGAAATCCTGCCTTTTACACCAAAAGGTATCTCTGTTTACTATTCCTGTATTTCCACTTGCCACGCATGCGTGTAGAAAATATAGATAATATTTATCAAATTTATAGTACCTTCCAAGTTGTTCCCTCTAAAATATAGGTCCATGCACAACTGATAATCCGTGTCTCACATTCACAGTGGTTACATGTCGTCCTCATCAAAAACGAAACGTTCCATTACAAGTTCGTTACAATTTAATTTCCTCTTCTAGGCCGATGGTTTACCAGGTGCTGTCCTTGTTTCTTCGGTAGAAAGAAGTCTATTCCTCTCTCCTGAATACGCGTATGTACGGCAAAGGTCATGGGTAGATCTTTCTGGCCAGTTTTCCTCTGTGCTGATTAAGTACCATGGGAAGTCCGAACTTAACGAGATCCTCTTGTCTCGAAGAAGTGTGTACTGGCGTGGTATACATTCTGTTTGCCTTGCATCAAGACGATTTTCACTACGATTGGTTTCGGTATATAGGCGACGTAACTAGCGGGATCGGTATTTTCTTTTTTGACAAATAAATTTCGTTCGTATTGTCGATTCCCCAAAGGCAAGAACAACTCCCTGCACGCTCGGTCCGGATCTTCCGTCTCGGGTACGCCGTAGACCTGCAGATTGACATTTCTGCTTTACATTTCTTGAGCTGGGGCTTTGTTTTCATACACTATCTTCAATTCAGTGAGACTGAATGTAATACTGCAAATCCCGTGGTTGTTCGCCTTGACTTGCTGTTGCGCATTAAAATCGATGGATTCCAGAAGTTTCTTTAAGTCTTTAATTTTTTTTTTTTAATTGATTTAATGTTATCATTTGTTTCAGGAATACGCATATAAAGTAGTTGTTCTTTCATAGCTTCAAATCGTGCCGCTGTTCTTCTGTGTGTAGCATCATGACGCTGTTACGTTTCTTCGTGGCGACATTGGCGGGACATTTTCCGAATGTGGGATAAACGTATCGAATGCGTCTAATTTAGACGTTTTCTTAATATTGGCAAGTTCAGTTGTAGTTTAGAACGAATAAAGGGTCTGAGTTTGACATGTTGGTTAGGGTGGGAGAGGATTGCTAAGCACGTTGTTTCAACAACCTGTCATGCGCGCGCAGCGCCACCGGAAGTGTTATCTGTTGTTAAAAGTCGACACTTCAACATCATTTTAACTTTCAAATCCAACCAAAAATCAATGTCATTTCAACGTTGAAGCACAGCATTGTTTCAACATCGATTCAACATTGTTGTATGTACTTGGATAAGTTGACTATCTCGACCGATTGAGCTGTCATGTGATTTGTTTGTGTTGTCACCAGCTGGTGAGAGACGAAATGTTTGTGTATATCTACACAGTGACTGTGCATTCAACAGCTGATAGCGCAATCGTCATGAGGGTTACACGAGTGTTGGATTACAAAGTTATACAACTTCGTCATTTTCGAGTGGACCATCAACATCTACATTGTATGTGCAGTATACGTTTACCCAATTTCATATTGCATTGATGGTTCAAGATATGATTTCAATTTATTGTATGGCCTGCTTTTTACATTTTTTTATTTGTCATCTCAACAAAGCTTGATTTATCTCTAAATAAACCCACACACAATTATTTCAACGTGCAAACAGTACGTATGAAGGCACTTTACTGTGTAAATACGCAAATCCAAAACATTCAGGCAGCAAATTTGTGAGCGTGTACTGTGTAATAACTGTCAATGAGTAGTTTAAACACATATTTGCTGAATATTTCAATCCATAATAGTCATACTATTATTATTGTTTTGTACTATTTTCTGCATTGTAGTCCAGTCAATATGTAATTTGACCACAAACTATCGAAATAAGATTTACAGATTTCCCGTGCAACTTTTCGGAAATGTTTGTTCGGCGAGGGACGTAACCCTCCATGCTGTTCTTGTCATCAACGTAACGTCGAGATGTCGCGGCACTGGTAATGATGCATTTGACCATACTTTCCAGTCTCTTGTATAGGTAACTATCCAATGTACAGCTCATAACATATCTGAATCCACTGTTTTTACATTTTACCAAAAAAGATATCAATTATGCCATTTGACATAATATTCATTGTGTGTGCAATGAAAACGGCTGACGGCAGAGGTCAGATAAAACATAGTTTGAAATCTAAGGAAAATTGGTATCCAAGCTATGCTAATGGAACAATTTTAATACTTTATGGTATATAAATTATCATAAATATGTCAAAATCACGCGAAAGTGATCACTTTATGCACTTGAGTCTAACAAATAAAAAATATATGGAAGATCATACTCGACACAATCTGTATTTTGTTCATGTGATAAGTAATTGCTTGTTTGGATAGAGGATGGGGGGATGGACCCACACCATATCTACCTCAGCGTGGGCCTGCGAATGGATATTGAAATGAAGATTTTAAAAATATGCTCAGTTTGTGTTTGCAAGGGTGTATTTGGAATTCTAACTGGTATTTAAGGTGCCCTTGACAGGCAAATTTGGGAAAAAGTAAAAGGCAATTGTTCAAAACCCTAAACGGGCAGATGATGTTTTCATATAATCGGAGGTAATGTAACTTTGTATTTGATGCAGTCATGTAAACCTCTATATCAGTCTGTTATTGCTGAACTGCACATCATCTCTACTAAGCCATAACATTAGTTATATTTATAACAACATTATTGGGGATATTTTACTGCCAATTTGGTTTTGCTGACATTTGCTGAATATCGGCCTTTGGACAGGCCTGGATAAGTCCCTGATTTGATTGTGGTTATTGTGGGTAGATTAATGGTTTCCTCATCTCTATAATTTAAAAAGAAAACTGCCTTAACCTCTTTTAAGAGATACTTTGTGTGATTACCTGTTCAGTGAAAAACCTTTGTATCCTGAATTCCAGTCACTGTTTTCCATACGGACCAGGTGGTGCAACTGTAACAAGTTCTGCGACTTGAGACTCAAATATGGGATCTGAAGCCCCAAACGCGTAAGTAAAGTGACAATTTCATATACCGTTGTCCAGATATCTAATTGGAATAAATTGTCTCTGACTGTCTCTTTACATGATTTGTAACTGGATTAAAAAAAAAGTTATTAATATAAAATGTCTATGAAAGACAATAACATGTCCAGATTAAACAGAGTAAAATTTGGCGTAAGGGGCAAAATAGCTGTGAAAATTTTATGAATTGACCAGTGAAAATCAGTCATGACACCAGTTGTTTGCGAAAAGGGTAAGCATGTCCTGCCCTACAGGTAGCACCCACCATTCACACATTTAATAAAATGAGAGTCAGCTACCATATATAACGCGTATGTCCCCCGTTGGAATCGATAGCGGCCTGACATCTCCTGCCCATGATACAGACGAGTATGCGCATAACATCCTTGGGAATGGTAGCCCACTCGGCTTGCGACGCAAAAACCAACTGTTTCAACGTCTGGCGTTGTGGTTGACGTCAGCGTAGCCGTCTATCCAATTCATCCCACGGGTGCTCTATCGGGTTCAAATCCGGGGATCTGGAGGGCCAGGGGAGAACATCAACGTTGTTATTGTGTAGACAGGCTCTGATCCGTGCTGTATGCGGTCGAGTGTTGTCCTGCTAGAACACATGTACACCGTTGCCGTTGGCTGCATTTGGGAGGACGTGTGGGAGGAGAATTTCGTTGATGTATCGTTGAGCCGTAAGACTCCTCTGGATCTATACTAAACCTGTCCAGCCATGATGAGAGATAGCCGCCCACATCATAACGCTGCCCCCAAACCTGTACAATTCCTGTACGCAGGTTCCGGCGTAACGTTCTCCCCGACATCTGTAGACCCGTGCTCTTCCATCCCCTCGACGGAGGGGAAATCTTGATTCTTCGCTAAACCAGAAATCTCTCCATCGCAGTTGAGGCCATACCCTGTGTTGACCTCGTAGACCTGCTGCTCTTAAACGGTTTCGTACGGTCTGGTCGGAGATTCTGCGTAGTCAGGGTATTTGGGATGCGGTTGGGGTGGCTGTGGTCCTCCTTTCATGTATGTGGCGCTGTCGAATGTAGCGATTTTGGTTGGGGGTGGTTACTCTTGGTCGTCCCAACCTTGGCCGATCACGTGTTGACCCACGCTACATTGAAAATCCTGGCTAAAGCTGATCGGGATTCCCCTGCCTGCAAGCGGCTTGTGATGTTGTTTCTTTGCACTTCTGTTAGTCTTGACATGTTGTTGAACTATGACTGTTCGATTGACGCAGATGCCAGGCAATCAAAAACCCTGCAATTTAATACGTTCATAGTGCTGCTGCACGTGTGCAGTGCGTACAGCTCAATGGCCCTTTTGTTAGTGCCCTGGGTGCGTTTTTGCGAATCGTACGTGTTTCCCGACTAATGGTTTGCATGTCCTTGTTGTGATCATTTTGATCCAGAAATTTGTCACTGACACTAAAACAGATTAAACCTCTTCATTTCGCACCTCTTGGTCCGCTAATTTTGCCTTTATGGCAAAAATATCAGTATTGCGTTTCATTTTTTGAAGAGTTTATATGGTACATGTATGTTTTCAGTACTATGGCACGCTGTCCTTTTGTTGCACCATTCTCAGAAACCTACTTTGCAGGTAATTAACATCACAAACATTATTGTTACACTGCATGAACTTTTAGTTTATCGATTGTATTTAGGTACTGCCGGCTCTGATTATATAGTGCAATGCAAGGGACTAAGCCCAAAATATCTACCAGAATTTCTCTAGAATTCATCTTGCCGTCCTGGTTGATTGCAACCTTTTCCTACCATACAGTATGTCATGTGATTTCAGGATTAACAGGATCATGTCAAAAATACAAATACGTGATGAAAATATCTTTATTGCTTACAGACATGGGCTTAATTTGAGTGTCCAGTACTCACCTTTCAAATGCAACAGATACCTTGCGTTTGTTGTAAGATGCCAAAGTATGTGAAATTTAGAAAATAACCAATAAGCGATGAATGGTTAAGGATCACCTACCCCGAGTGAATGAATAGTGTTATTCCCGAGTCTTTGGCGAGGGACATACAGCATTCATTCACCAGGGCGATATCTCCTGTGGATTACCACCTGTACCATCTCTTGGACATTTGTTAGAAGTTCACGACATGATGATTATACCCTTTGTTTGTAAACAAAACCGCATGACACTATAATTTGTCTTCTGCAGAAATATCTACCGGGGAAGTGGCGGCACTTGCAGTTGGTGCAGTGATTACTTTAGCTAATGTCGTCATGTTTGTGGAGAGCGCCAGGTTTTTGGTCAAACACTTGCCTGTTCAGAAGGCAAACGCTTTGTCCATATGGTTGACTGGCCTACCAACAGTAAGTTAACAAGATGTTTACCTTTCAGATTACCTGGAGTTCTTTGAAGCTTATCTTTATTCGTTGTTTGACGCTGCACTCGTCGATATTCCAGCTATAGACAGCGACCTGTACATAATCCAATCTGGACTCAGCAAACCGGTGATTGATATTAAGATCAACAAAATACTCCATTAAGTCGCCCCTTACGACTAGCATAGGTTTGTGGGGACCAATTCCAACCCGGAATCCTCATGGGCCATTGGACTTTATGTCATGGTACATTCTCCATTGTTTACCCACTTCTCTATTGTTCATTTTCTGTAAATCTTGAAATTAAAGCGTCCCCAAATTTATACGACTGCCTAACCCCAAAGACCCATTCTTGCCGTAAAAGGCGACTATGCTTGTCGTAAAAGGCGACTAACGGGATCGGGTGGTCAGGCTCGCTAACTTGGTTGATACATGTCATCGGTCCAAATTGCGTGGATCGATGCTCATGATATTAATCACTGGATTGTCTGACCCAGACTCGATTATTTACAGACCGCAGTCATATAGCTGGAATATTGCTGAGTGTGGCGTTAAACAACAAACCAACCAACCAACCTAACCCCAAATGCCACACAGTATAAATGCGATTTAGTATCTCAGAGGGCTAGCACTATAAAGTCGGTATTAGTCCGGACCAGTACAAGCAGCCACACACACACACGTGCATGCACATCTCTATAGTGCATAGTGCAGTAATCTTGAACGTTAAACCCCATTTCATCTCACCTCACCTTATTGTATATACTTTATTAAGTTTGCATCGCTCCTACGATAACGATAAAGCTATGATGTAACTATTTCAGCAATGGTGTCTCAGAACAATGCTCAGACTTAGATGCATTGTCATCTCATATCTCGCAATTTCTGCATGCAACATTATGAAATTTTATATGAAGTATCTTTGGTATGCAAAATAATATGTCATAAGGTTTTTTTCTGCAACCGCTGGCTTATCAAGCTGAAATGTTGTTTGTATGATTCCTTAATTGGTATCTCTGAAAGTTCTAATCTGAGCCTTTGTTTTGACCTTTATCATGTTAATCTAATACTGCAAATATTCCAAAAAAGATTGAGATTTAGCTACGTAGCCCCAAGGCTCTGTTTTAACAGGTGTTTCTCACAAATTTAAACACATTATAGCAATCTGCTGATGAAGTACTTATAGTAGTTAGTAGACATTATCTTCAAGTTGGTACCAGTATATTTGTCGTAAATTTGATTATATTGGGCACGCAAACCAGAGTAAATTGTCACATCAACAACACACAAGTCAAATTTCAGACGGAAAGCTTTCCCAATGTTTATATCTTCATTTCAGGTTAAATGTACTCACTTGATGCTTTTTTTAAGTGTAGGTGTATTTGACTACATGTAATTGCTATCAACAGGTGTTTGCAGTGACATCCTTGGTAGCTGTGTTAGTACCGCGATCTGCCTTGCTGTCGGATCTACTGGCGGCCATGTAAGTTAAATATAGGGATTTACTAAGGTCTTTCTATGCTTTTAGGAGGCAATATTTACATTGACCATACAAGCTATTGATATACATTGTCAGGACGTATTTTATCACTTAAACAAAAAGTGAGTGAGTGAGTGAGTGAGTATGGTTTTACGCAGCTGTTAGCAATAATCCAGCAATACACGGCGGGGGACACCAGAAATGGACTTTACACATTGTAGCCATGGACAATCGATTCCGGGTCTTCGGCGTGACAGAGCAAACCACTAACTACCCGACCGCCCCTTAAACAAAGAAGGGAATAGACATAGCGATTACCTGTAGCTCCTTGTGTACATGATTTGATGCAGGGTGTTTGGTTGTGAGGTGCGTTGTGTTGTGGTAAAATGGGGTTAAACGTCGCGTTATAGGCTATTGCAAAGTTATGTAGTGATGTACATGCACTTGTGAGATAACATGCCGCTGTTTAACATGGATACCCCACTCAAACACAGTATACTGTCGAGACGACCAGTCCTATCTGGCCGAGTGCTAGGCAGGGTAACAAGTACAATCTGTTAGCGTCTTTTGGCACGACGACGCCGGGGATCGAACCACGGACCTTTCGCTCCCCATGTTTGGTAGTGAGAAGAACTGGAATGAAAATCCTACCTGGAGATACACCTGCTATGTTTTCACTTTAGAGGTTTTGAAGTTGGATTCGATCCCTGTAAGTTCCCTTTTGAAACCAAATGCGTCAGCGAGAGGTTTTGAATTTGAAACGTGTTCAGGCTTCGAACGCTTCGAAATGGTGATTGATGAGGCATCCCCTGGGTCAAATATTTTTAATAGGTCAGGGATCGGTTTTTTTCCACGAATGTTTGCTTTCATTCACTCAAACCACAACTTTCGCCATAATACTGAACTTTGTTCAGTGTGAGCCAATACAAACCTCGAGCGCAGATACCCTGTGAGAATTACTCTGACGATCCTCCCTTTAAAGCATTAGAAAATGAAGCGACCCTTTGCAATGTTTAGTTCCAATGTACACGTCACTGTTATGGCATTATAATGTTCTTCAAACAACGTCCCCTAATTACTGTGACGCGGTACACTTGACATCACAGTATGTGACAGAGAAGCCGAAATGTAAAGCTGTGGTAACGTTATTACTTCCGCCTTTGATATTTATATATATCAAATATAATTGGATATTTTTGTATATCAATACAAAAATTAATATGGAAACAATCTTTCGGACATTTTGGATAACAGTGTCCCAGAAATTAAACCTATCTGAAACCCTGATGACGCGCTTTGAATTTGATCATAGGTTTATTTGGTTAGGATTGTGTTCATAAGAAAAATCAACAACACATTGAATTCAAGTTTCACTGCACTATGGTAGGCTTTGTGTCAACAGAAAGCGTTCAAATGATCATACTTGGGTCAGTGACCCATATGTCACATGATATACATGGGAGGACAAGGACGTGGGAAGTATGGGACGTGTATATTATATTGACACAGTTAGTTTTTCTACGCCTGTAGCGGTTCATATGATTTGTTTTTTAGTTGGTTAAAGACGCACTCCAGGGACCTATTCTAAACCGGAATGAACGAGCGATTATTGCTTATGCCATAACAGCAGTCTTGCAGTTATTCACATCATAAAATGAGGTCATGTGGGTTCGTTAAAGACGCACTCCCGTTAGTGGGGACCTATTCTAAACCGGAATGAATGAGTTATTATTGCTTATGTCATAACAGCAGTCTTGCAGTTATTCACATCATATCATGAGGATTTGTTGGTTCATTAAAGACGCACTCCCGTTACCAGGGACCTATTCTAAACCGGAATGAATGAGTTATTATTGCTTATGTCATAACAGCAGTCTTGCAGTTATTCACATCATATCATGAGGACATGTTGGTTCATTAAAGACGCACTCCCGTTACCGGGGACCTATTCTAAACCGGAATGAACGAGCGATTATTGCTTATGCCATATCAGCAGTCTTGCAGTTATTCACAACATACCATGAGGAAATTGAAGTGAAAACAAACAAATGTCTTTAGGATTTGCACAAGCGTTATTTTAATTGTCTCAAATACTTATTTACTAATGGAGCAGTTCCAACGTGGTATAAACAACTTACTTCTTTAGGTTGTGAGACATACTCCCAATATTTCACCATATGATCCTCACGCCTTGTCTGAAAAAGTTAACTTTGATGATCGGACAAAGCTCATTACTTCAACACATGTCCGGGGTTCATGTATGGAAGAATTGACTTCAATATTTTCTATGTTTGGATTTATGCGATCTCATGTTGTTTGGATTGACACAAAAGGAATCTCGGAGGCAAGTTTTTTAAATAGCCACTGTACACTTTTGCCATCTGCTATTTGATCATTAGCCGCCATGAGATACCTAGCTACCGTATTCGCAAAAGTTATGTCAGATTTCATCTGAACATTAAAACGTAAGGCATTCCTTTTTAAGTACCTATGTGCGGATATGTTGTGTGTTGTCTATCGTCCTTGGTTAACTTTTGCTTTATTTACATCATATCGTAACTACAATGCCTGAAACTTTCCAAGAATAATCCAAGCAATGGTGTCTCCAAAATGTGCATACACAATTCTGATCCGACTTTAATATGGCTGTCATATTGAAAACGTACTTTTTGCCTAGTTACATCTGCACGTTTCGTGTTGAAATGTAATAGATATTATACAATGTGGTATGACTGAAAATGTCACTTTAGATTTTGCTGAAACTTGTCACAACTTCAACATCCGGCCTTTGTACACTGCTGATGAACATGTAACTTGGCCTTCTGCATATAAACCAGTAATCTATGTCTCATTTGATACCTTAACGAACATACTTTGAAGATATCTGTTAAGCTGAGACATCTGTGATTTCTTTACTCTTATGTGAACCTTCTGATCTTGTATGATAGGCTCCTTATAGCCTTTTTTCATATATTTCTTCTTGGCACCTGGCCAACAATGGTAAGACATATGTTTGTATTTTGTTCATTTCGACCACCGACAATCTCATTAAACTCAGATCTTAGTACTCGCTACCGCTGAACAGAGATCTGAGGACACCCCATTACGGATCACGTCTGAACGACCTTTCGCAGACTTTGACCGACCACTGAAACGACGAACAAGAAGTCGACATCAGCCAATTAGAAAGCAGCTTTCTCGAGCTTTACGTCACTCGTTTCAACCTGGCTAGAAACATATGTTGACACAGTTCTCGATTATAATTTTTAAAACTGAACAAACGAACATTCCGGAATGTCTAATATATGGTTTAGATTGTAAGGCAGTGCTTCCCACGTACTGTGCAACGCCACGGAAGCGAGAGATAGACGATAATTTTGACGGAATCTGTCGTACGGGCCATAACTGTCGTTCGGAATACCCCGTGTTAACATTTTCGAGGTTGCATAATTAGAAAAGACATTCCGACTGTCACTTTCATGATCTGGTAAGCGACGCTTTGATTGGTCGGATAAAAGGTCGTTCTGACGTGACCTGTTACTCGATGTCCTCAGATCTTTGTTTAGCAATAGCAAGAACTAAGATATGATTTTAATGAGATTGGACCACCGACACGGTGGTTTGGAAAAAAAGGTCATCTAAAATTGATTTTCTGCAATGTGTTTTCTATGCTTTTTTCAGCTACGCATCCTTCTGTGTGTTTATCTTCATCAAACTGCTGATCCACTACTATGGAGGGGAGCAAGCTCTCATCGATCACATGTCAGGGGAGACAATCAACCTGCGCAGCCCTCCCGTCGCCTGCTGCTGCGTCTGCTGCCCAAAGATAGCTGTCAATGAGTAATAAGAATACTTGTCACTGTCACCATTAATTCAGGATTTTGCATGTGTCAACCTGATTGTAATAGTTCTCACAGTTGCAATCATTTTTCAAGAGAATTCTGACGCATATATTTGTTGAGCTAACACTAAATTTCTTCATCTACAGTTTTTTGAAAAATAACACTTTGGCTGGTTTCTGATGAAAGCATTATACTGTTTCAGGAAGAACCTTTTCAGAATCAAGATGTCTGTTTTACAATTTGCCATCATGAGACCGATCATGGTACTTGTGACTATTTCGGTGTGGTCGGATAACAAATATGTGAGGGGACTGGTAAGTAAACAAGTCTGTTTCAAAATCTTTCACTTGTCATCTTCCTGTTTGAAAGTACATCTCCTGTCCCCTATCATGCTATGTTTCAAAATGCATCTCATGACCTTGCTGTCTTAAAATACATTTCATGAATGCCATCTTTCTCTGTTTCAAAGAACATATCATACCCCCATCTTTCTCTGATTCAAGTAACCTCATAGCCACCATCTTGATATGTTTCAATTTAGGTTGATTTGAAAAGAGAATAATTCATCAGCTCTTAACATATCATGTTAAACATCATTGGATGGATTCTTTTTGTCAGATGGGCCCAGTTGTCTCAGGCGCTGCAATTCGCTGTGAACTGTTGTGTCCTGATTATGTTACTAGGTTTGTCAGCACCATGCCCATAGGTTTCACCAAAGTGTCAAATGAGAACAGCAACACTTTGGGATTTCCCCCCAAATCAAGCTGATATGCCTTGATATAACTGACATATTGCATTCAAAGCAGCGTTAAACCAAATCACTCTGTCACTCTTTCAGATGATGCCACTTCAGGCCTTCCCGTACCTGAATGTGTTGAATGTTGCGTCCACAATGCTAGCCATCTATGGCTCAATCCTTTTATTCAGACCGTCCAGAAAACACCTTAAGGCGTTCAACATTGGCCCAAAGTTCCTCTGCTGTCAGCTAGTGCTTGTCCTCAGCGACATGCAGACAGCTGTCTTCGATAATCTGGCACTCAACAACATTCCTCCCTGTACACCAATACTGTCTTCTGCCACACGAGGTGACGGTACGTGTCAAATCTGCTGGGGAAAGTAGTCCATCAAGCCAACAATAATCTTCCTCCTTGTACTTCAATACTGACTTTTATTGCACTAGGTGAAGGTAAGTGTCAAATCTGCTTGGGAAAGTAGTCCATCTAGCCAACAATAATCTTCCTCCTTGTACATCAATATTTTCCTCTACTGCACAAGGCGAAGGTAAGTGTCACATCTGCTGGGGAAAGGAGTTATAAACAGAGATGATGTCATACCCATGCTAAGAAAAGTGTTAAACATTAAAGACCTGCATCACTTTGGGCTTCCCTTACACATTACTTTGTTCGAAGCGGCATGAAACTCAACTTTATTTCGAGCACATCAGGATTTGTAACAGATGTTTTTGGAAAATCCAAATCAATTTGGACAGAACTAGTAAATGTTTTATGGGCTCATCATTTTGATTTTCTTTCCCTGCCATACTGACTCTGTGACAGAACTATCTTTAACAACATAATTTATCAAATAAAGAATGAAGTATCATTTAATTACTGCTATTGTGTTTGACTTGCAGTATGCATACTTTGGAGTCATTTTAAATATCCTGCAACACTTCCACCAATATATAGAGCTTTAAAAGGCCTATTCCTCATTTTTAAAACTAGTATCGCCGATATTGAAATCAGTATCATCAGTTTGTTTCCTCTGATAAAAGCTAAAAGATGTAAACTGACTTTAAACAGTGTTAAAAAGCTGTTTTCAATTTCAGTTTGGAACCACCTGATTATGATTGTGGAAATGTTCTTGATAGCTCTGCTTGCCCGGCACCTTTATCGCAGGATAGATGGATCACAGGTCATCGCAGATGTTGATGTTATGAGCTCAGGTGACAAAAACACAGCACAGCACGAGAATTCTTCCTTGAACAATGACACCAACATATTGAAGCACACTAGCAGTGAAAAGGAATCGGAGGACCACACTAATTACATGTAGATGTTGAGTAGAGTGCATACAGGAACTGCTATGTTGCAGATTGATGGAAACAGAGGACTGTGACACAGGGCACAGGACCGTGTTTCACAAAACGACTTGTGTTATTATACTTTACATAGACACAAAAAACATACGATGTAGCATAATATCAAGGAACGATTTGAAGAAGTCTAAAGAGATGGGAAAACTGCTTCAGTAGTTAACCAATCAGTTCTATATGGTGTGCAGTTAAGTTGTTTTCTAGAAATATTGAATACATTTATTTTTTCTGATGAAGTTCTTTAATACTTAAATACCATTCTTGGCATGTTAATGCTTGGAAAGCTACGTTCGTTTTGAAACAGATAAGAATGTCACTTTAGCTTATTGCACCCCTTGTGATCGTGTATGGCAAGCGATCTCTCCACAAAGGAAGTGAACTCTTTCCTCTGCAAGAGGTAAGTTTGCAAACATTTCAGTGCAGTATTTTCCCAAATTACTCGAGTTATACGCATTTATCAAAACACCTTGTCAATGCTGTAAAAGACATTAAATGAAGTACACGCAAACAAGTGTGTTCCTTCTTTAGTAAAAACCAAAATTATTTGGTAGTGATGGCAGATAAGTGTTGCTTTTAAAATATCAGCGGATTAAATATAACGTGTAAGAACTCGAGTAGGAAAATGCTGCACTGAAACGATATTTGCAAACGTACACGACCACAGGGATACATTTTGGTCATTTACGACACAGGTATTACTACTCTGTACCCAGGTAATCAATATCTTTTTGGTACCCAGTCGCACAATTCACATTTTATATGAAGGCTGTTTAGTGAGGTTGCAAAAAGGCCATCCAAAACAGTGTTGGCAATATAACAGCCACACAAACACCGGACATAGTGTCGAGTCTAGATTGGAGTGCACAAGACTGTACCCGTGTAAATAGTTGTATGACATGTGGTGACAACCCGAATAGACTCACTCACTTGTACTAGTTTGGTATGCCTGTGTTTCTGTTGCACAATGAGTAACCAGTCACAGAAATATGAAGGCTGTTTGGTGAGGTTGCAAAAAGGCCATCCAAAACAGTGTTGGCTCTATAACAGCCATACAAACACCGGACATAGTGTCGAGTCTAGATTGGAGTGCACAAGACTGTATCCGTGTAAATAGTTGTATGACATGTGGTGACAACCCGAATAGACTCACTCACTTGTACTAGTTTGGTATGCCTGTGTTTCTGTTGCACAATGAGTAACTAGTCACAGAAATATCAACACATTTACTCATCTACATGTTTTAATATGTTTGTTTTTGATTAAATAGTCAGCACTATTCTAGCTAGATGACAGATGCCTGTAAATAATTGCATCTGGACCAGACAGTCCAGTGATATTTTAAACATGGTATGATGACACATTATTAACCATCTATTTGGTCTCTTCTTACGACCAGCACAGGTTGCTGGGGACCTATTTTAACCCAGCTTCCACTCATACATGTCACAGGTATCAAGTCTTTTAGAGTTAGAAAGATATGCTATTAATAACAATATTCCCGCAATATCACTGTATAGTACACAACGTTTCTGTGTTTACGCAGAGACTTAAACATACCAATTCCCAAGTCTGATGTATACATATGCTTTTTGAGTGTTTTACCTAAAGGCCAGAAGACTGGGAACTTATGAAATAAGTATGCATATTGTGTCAGTTACTTATGGACACTGATGTCTTTCATTTGGTAAACCATAATGTGAACTAAAAATGTTCGTGGTGATATTATTTTTGTCATACATGTGTATATATTTTTGTCCTCCAATACAAGTGTTATGAGCATTAACTAACACAATCATGCTTTTACAGAAATCATATGGGTATTTGAACAAAGCACCTCTTTTATAGAGTAATAAAACTTTATACATTCGGTTTTCAGTCTTTTGTAATAACCAAATCAAAAGTCTCAGCTACTGAGCTAGCTTTCCATATTAGTTTCATTATATTTCAATTTGAATCCTTCAGTGACTGCCAACTGCCTGTGGACAAACACCACTTCATGGATAGTCATCACAGAGTAAACATTGCAATCATATTTCATTTTCAGTAAAGTTGATACAATGACAATTTATATGACATAATACAAAACATATTTCTGATGCCTCTACAGTAAAGTATAAACCAAAAGGTTGGCAATTCAGAATTCTTCCATGACATTGAATATTGCTTGATTCTGATTGGTTAAAAACAGGTTTAAAAAAAGTCTTTTCACACAAAAAACGTGTGTATGAATACATCGATAGCCTACATATCGATTCATAAACAAATGACTGCCGATCGATCACCCCCATATGAACTGTAAAACGTATCGATATTTCTTCTATTACACACTGGGTCTCCAATACAAGCCAGGTCTCTAATACACGTGGGGTCAACAGCTTTCATGAAATTAATAGATGGTCTAGCATCTAATAGAGGAAATGCAGTAGTTTGATATCGGATGTTTTTGCCGATGATATCTTCTTTGCAGTAACCCTGACAGCTTCGATGATGAGATTACAAGACTTTACAAAGGCACATATTTTACATACAAATGAAATGTTTATGAAACTGACTCGAAACAGGCAATTTCCTCATTTAAACAAACAACAATGAAAGTAAAATATAACATTATAAAAAAAAACGTGTTTGAAGAAACTTTATTCATGAAAACATGTTGTTCACAAACATCTGGTGATCGATATTCATTGCCATCTCCCTCAACCACCACTGTAAGGATTTGGTAGGAGGGCATTTAAAAGTACATCCGAAAACACTCTTCCATTCGAAAGGCCATGAAAACAATGTCCTTACATAACTGAAGTCAGAGGACAGTCACTGGATCATAAAATTTTGCCAAACCTGATGAAATTCAGAACACGCACAATTAAGCAAATCTTACACGAACCTCTTTTCCTGGGCCACAAATGTCACATCAATTGTCTTTCACACGCTGGTGTTGAATCCATAAAATTTTGGAATTGACTGGTCATAATAGCTGGCTCGTCGTCAGCCTGAAAGGCGGCTGTTCAGTCGTGCTCAAGTTCCGTTGGCAATCACATTGTAACGTCAGGCTCATTCCCAGTAAATTTACAGGTTAATGTTGAACCACATCTTAGACAGAAGTTGTCATCTTGCCTAACTGGTGTAAGGTGAGAGTAGATCAAGTTCTGCCACATCCAAATTCGGCGTGGACAGGCATAAAGTTTGTTGGAGAAATATATTCGTTTAGCAATTTAAAACTATTACTCCAACTTGTCACTCCTTCAATGAGAAGTGGCATATTCGATTTCCAAGAAATGACTTGTTGCGCTGATTTCCAAGAAATGACTTTCCAACAGTCCAAACAGTGCACAGCAGGTTGCGATGAAATTGAAACATATATAATATACATAAAAATATCTTTGGACTGAGTTTGTTGACTTATTTGTCAAGTTATATTTAAATAATTATGTGTTTTGAACACTTTGTATAACTAGTCAAGACTATGGGTATTTTAATGTTGAACTTTAGTAATATTTGTTACATGCAACCCCTTTTCAGAATGTTCTACGATAGCCTACCTTTGTACTGTGTGTAGTTACGCATTGCAAGAGAGCACCGTTTACAAAGCGCTGTTGCGTCAGGGTAGAATGCAGATTAACCCACTGTGTTTTAAAATTTGATGTAGTCCCACTGTAGAGTAGATATCTAAAGTCCTAAATAAAGATAAGAGGTATTTACTCTACAGTGGTTCTTATCTCCTGATGGTTCCACTATTGCTGAGTTTAGTGCCACTTCAAACGCTGTTACAGTTCTGTGGTGCTACAAAAACAAGATGGTGATCATGACTACAACAAAGTACTGCACCTTACACAACTGGGACATCGATGCTCCCTCTACAGATATAATATGGGCACATGTTAAGGATATTTCACATACACAACACTGTTGATGGTTACAATCCTCCTGAACCTCTGAGTTTTGTAACAAAGGCAAAATGGAGCAGGGAATGAAGATTTTCCTTAAGTTTGCCATGTGGGATTGTGGTGTACAATCAAAATCAAATGTTTTGACAGAATGGAACATGGCTTTTTTTAATAGATTACAAAAAGTCAAGCAAATCCATTAAGTTTTTGAGAATCCACATGGTATTAGTTTCACTTGTCTCAAATACTTTCTGTGAAAAGATAGTCCTTCCTTGATTGTTTTAAGGGTTATAGGACTTGGTGGTACATTTGCTGGACCCAGCAATGTATCTCTGTTTCTATGGACTTCTATGGAGCTTTGGAATCCAGTACTAAAGAGGAATGGTATGTCTTTAGGTTTTAGAGTCAAGTCAAAAGTTGATTGTAGCGATGCCTGGTTTTGGCAGATGTCACCGATGACTTTCATACCACATAAAGAGCATATTATTTTTTTGGGGTAGGATATTCTTAACCACCTACTCCAATTGACATATAGAATCTAAATTTAAGACAATGACACTAGTGGCATTCTTTCAATTTTGATAAATAACATTCAAAATTTCAAAAGATTATTATTTGTTACGCCATTATCTTTAGAGTAATATTTATGCTATACGTTTTGTATATCAGTGAAACATTTCATATGTCATTGTAATTATTGATATTTCTCTCGAAATGATTGAGACGATAATAAATGTAGTGCAGACATTTAGGACTATATTATTTTGCTGACACGTATCCAAGTAGTGGTCTGAGTTAGTGCCTCGTAGTAGATTGCAGAACCAACCAATAATCTGCAGGTGGTAAACTACAATTAAAAGTTAAACAATGACTCTCTGTGGATAACTTAATTAATTAGTATAAAGCTCATTTCGAGGTCACAATCCCTGCAATGCATTCTGTCCATCGGTGTCTTTACTAAGCACATGCATCTCATTCGGTACAAAGGAAGCCAAGTAGCTGTTCATTTAAATACCCAGTACCCCTCTCCCCTCAGTCACCACCACCATGTCCTCTCCACTTACGTCATGAATGAGTATCTGAGTACTGGGGTTTGATGTCAAGTTACAAACATTCCCAATAACATCTCATCACGTTTGGAATGTGTGTAAATAATACTATTATTCGCATCACTTACAAACCTTGTGGACACAGTTGAGGAATACATGGAAATAATTCATTTTAAGAGTATACGTTCCTAACATTTGTAATATAAAGTCCGCGCGTGAGTGAGTATGGTTTTACGCCGCTTTTAGCAATATTCCAGCAACATCACGGCGGGTGTAATATAAAGGCATAGTTGCACATGCCAATATTTTTTTCCATAGGTGATGTCGTCTATGGGCATAGAATCTAACAATTCCACACCTTATTCCAAACATGAGGGCATACATGGAAATGCACAATTTCATGCAGTGTAAGATGGACAAAAACATGAAATTCAGATCTTGAATCCTTTGTAAAGAAGGCAAGTGTCCTTTAACTTCGAACATTCCTTCGTCCTTTGGACAGATGGCAGAAAAATATGCCCGCAAAGATTGAAATGTAGAACAAACAAGTCTGTTAAATATTTTATCTATCTCCGGGTCAGACGATAAGTAAGGCGTGCACGTTGATTGTGAAGTATATCTGGGTCGCCGTCTACAGCGTTTTGTCTTTATAAACATCGACCTAATTAAAACACACCCAAGAGGGTAGTTTGAAACCAAACGCACTTCATGAAAAACTAAATTGCCGGGCAAAAAGCAAACTTGAACTTGGATTTGACCATAAGATGTAAATGTTATCAAACCGTTAATAGGCTGAAAACAGTCGCGAAACACTGCAAATATTGAGTAAAATATTATCGCAAATTCTGCTCCCATTTGGAGCAGTAAAACCGACATAGCTTTCTTATTATTGTTGGTTCAGTATAAAATGTTTTGTTCCAGTAAAATATAACCGCGGACATGACATAGCCTGAGTTCGGTCTGGGCATAGTCCATACTTAGCTGCAGTGAGATCGGGTACACGTTTACATGAGATACATGTACATACCTCCTGGGCCAGGTTAAAACAGTAAACAATGGCATCAAGGACTGCATTTAGAGGTTTGGCGTCTATTCTGTTTAATGCTGGCAGTGTGGCAACTCACTATGCCTTACCAAATCCCATAAATCTACGGTCATACAATGGGTACATTTGCAGGAAACGGTCATTAATATTCACGCATATTTACAAGCGGTAAAAGTAACCGTGCTTCATATAAAGTAGTGTAAATGTTATGTCACTGAAAATAACATCGTAATAGCATCGTCATTCGTCTGATCAATGTTTTATCATAAACAATTCAGAGAATAGGTCTTCAGCAACCCATGTTTGCCGTAAAAGGCGACTATGTTTGTCATAAGAGGCCACTAACAGGTTCGGGTGGTCAGGCTCGCTGACATGGTTGATGCATGCCATCGTATCCCATTTGCATAGTTCGATGTTCATGATGTCAATCACTGGATTGTCTGGTTCAGGGTCGATTTTTAACAGACAGCCGTCATATAGCTGGAATGTTGCAGATTGCGGCGTTGAACAACAAACAAATAAATCATAACAAAACCATTGACAAAATCCATACCTAGTAACAGGAAACGGAGTGACACGCCCACAGAGTGGGGTAGTGTAACAAACTAATTACCAATGTAAATATCGGGTGTGATCACCATTTGCGTAGTCACAGGCGAGGCGGCAGCGGTGCATTGGAGACACCAGATAATTTAAAACAGCATGGGGGATGTTGTCACAAATGTCATCCAGAGGTTCGCCAAACTAGTGTTCTAAGCCAGCGTTATCGGCTGGTTCTGGTGCTGCCGTTATCATCTCATCCCAGAGGGAGGGGGGGGGATCTGGAGAAACAGCCAGCTATGGAAGTACATCAAGGTTATGCTATCTCAAGATTCCTGTTACAATACGTGC